AATTATTTCTAAATGTCACAGATGTATTGTCAGTATCTACATGTTTTCCACACATATTTTAACAACTTTTTGACTTAAAAGCATCCTCAAAGGTTTACAAGTTTGATCAAGTGCATTATAAAATAAATGATAACAAGTTTCAATGCCATTAACATATGCATGTTAATTGCAAATGATTAAAAAATTCAATTTAAGACCTTACGTTTTGACTTTTTAGCTAAACTCTGGCCCACTGTGCATTCAAGTGGTTTTATTGTTTAGCATTTAGCAAAATATTGCAATGTTCATAAAGCACATAAATGTCATATAAGCACATGAATTAAACTTGTTGAAACACAATTGGATAGGAGAAGATGAAATAATTGAAGTTAGTTTGTGAAAGAAGATTGTCGGATAACTCAAACGGTAAAATGCCGATATTCAGAACATTTGGTGAATTAATTTCACCAATATTTATCAATTTGATTTTTTTTTTTCAAGTTGATTTAGGTGCCCCAAGAAGTCCTTACGGTCTTATTACAGAGCACCGCGGTAAAGCATTTAATAGGAAGTTCACGCCTCCTTCCTAACCGATATCGCAAAACTTACCCAAAGGTGGGGTTTGAACCACGGGTCATACGTTTCTGAGGCAAGTGCGCTACCACTGCGCCACGGCAGCTTTTTAAATTTCATGTCTGTCATCAGAATTGGCGCGAGTAGGTGTTACGTGGGGGTGTTGTTGCCATAACCAAAAAAAAAATAAAAAAATCCTTGTATTCTGAAATTTGCCGACTAACTAAACGACATTTGCAGACTGACTGTCTAAATTTTCTAGGTGAGAGAACAAGGAGGGGGCAGTCACCCTCTTTCTTTGCACCTTGTCTGTATGTGAAGGTACGGTATAAGTACGTGCGCAAAACTTTTACACTATTTATACATATGATATTTTTTTAAATTTTAAAAATTTTTTCTAATTCTTTCAAAAATTTTTTTAAAATTTTTTAAAAGTTTAATTTTCAATTTACTCTTATTATTTTAGCTTAAAAAAAAAAACTAATGAATATTAAGTGAACAAAACAGATCATAAAACCGGCTCCGACTCGTAAATAGCTTTAAACAAGGGTTTTTTAATATTATAAATCAAATCTGAATTTTTAAGACGTCAAAACAAATACATAAATGCAAATTTAACTCAACATGTTGCGAAAATTACCCTTTTAGGACTGTTAAAGGTAATATTTACCAGTGTTACTGTGTTCTGCGTGTTAAAAAACTAACTTGTCATCATCAATGAGTAAAAGAGATATCTGATCATTAGGAAAAAAACAGTCACAAAGCAAATGCTATTGCATTAAAAAAGCGAACTTCTTTAAATAACTTTTTAAAAAACACAGCATTAGGTAATCAAGTAATTAATGCTGAGGTCATGGTAACAAATGTTTTAGTTCAGCACAACATTTCTTTAGCCACCTCCGAAAATCTTAAATCTCTTTTTAAAGAGTTTTTTTCAGACAGTAAAGTTGCCAAAAGGTATGCAAGTTAAATTAAAACAATGGCTGTTATAAACGAATCATTTGCTCCACATTGTCGAAATTAAATTGTAGAACATTGTAAAGTTCGTCCATATTTCTTAGGCACTGATGGATCGAATTACTCTGGCATTGATAAGATGAATCCTATATATATCAAAATATTTGATGCTGACCGATCAAAAACAATAACATGTCATTTCTTTGATATGTGCTTAACATCTGGAATAAATTGCTATCTTTTTTTTCTATCGAAAAAAAATTGGAAGAATATGAAATTCCATGGAAAAATCGCATAAGTTTAAGTGTTGATAATACAAATCCTATAATGAGAAAAAGAAATTCAATTGCTTAAAAATATTAAAAAAAAAAAAATATCTTTATTGGTGGTTGCCCTTGTCATCTTGCACGCTTAGCTGCTAGTAAAGCATGTGATGTTTTTTGTAACTATATTGCATTAAATGTCAAAAATGTTATGATAGGCTTGTACTATTGGTTTGATAAGAGTAAAAAACGAAAAGGCAAATTGAGAGAGTACTTTGAATTTTGTAATCAAGAGTATCAAGAGATTCTAAAGCATCTATTAATTAGATGGCTTTATCTAGGGAAATGTATTTTATACGCTATTGTCAAGTATACTAGCCTTAAAACTTTTATTTCAAGTGAAAGCTTTGCTTTCACTTGAAATTTCAGTATGAAATTTCAAGTGAAAGCAATCGGGTTATGAAATTGAAATTTCATAACCCGATTTTGGAACCAGCAATGCTTTTTCTAACTTCAGCATTGTCTTTGTTTTTACATTTCAATCTACTATGGCAACGAGTAGAGCCAACAATTCATTGTCTAAAATCAGCAATCGAAAGTCTAAGCAAAAAAGCTGACCAAGCGCATAATTCTACCAAACAAACTGAAAAACATTTCATCTGTTTTAGAAATAGACTTAAAAGATCCAAAAAGTTATATTGATACTCAAGATATTTATCTTGAAGTCCTAACAAAACCAAATCTTTGAAACAGGAGATATTTTACAAAAACAACCTAAAGAATTTTAGGATGCTGCTCACTATTATTTAAAGTCGTTCCTTAAATATATTAAGCACAAATTTCCTTCTTGATGACGGTTTAATTGTTAATGCTGCTTGGGTGGATGTTTTGGACCGTGAAACTCGAAGTAAAAGCAAGTTCAGTATTTTTATGACCGGTATGAGTGGCATCAAACCTGAATAGTATGATTGAATTAAATGGTATAATTGAATTAAATGGTATAATTGAATTGAATGGTATGGTTATAAATGGTATCAAACCTGATGAATTGTATGAGGAGTTTAGCGATTATCAGATTTTAAAGAACAATGATTTTAATGATAATGTTTTTGAGGAGGCTAAGATACCTGAAAATATTCTTGATGATATTGGAGGTACACCTTTGTTTCACTACAGAATCGACATTTTATGGTATTATTTCAAAAATGATTATTCAAAATACTTTAGTTAAACGATTTAAATTGCTACCAAAATTAGCTGAAATTGTTCTCATTATTCCCCACAGTAACGCTGAGTTAGAAAGATTATTTCATATTGTTAAAAAAACAATTAACTTGAGAGATCAGCATTAAAGTTGGATAGGACATTATCAAGTATTTTAACTATGAAAACAATGTTTCCCTAGGCTACAATGCCATGTTTTCAATGGAAACCATCTGAACATCTGTTAAAAACACAAAGAAAGCAACAAAAATATACAATTTCATACTATTTTAATTTTTCTTGTTTAAAAAAATGTACTTTTTTAAAAAAATTTTACGCTTATCAAGGTTTATGTGTAAATCTTGAGATTTTTTTTAATGAATCTCAAAGTTTAAAGAAAAAGAGTTGAAAGATCTGCTTTTGGAGTTTTATGATTTTTAAACTAAGTTTAAAAGCAATGAGACCACTGCAACTTAAATTTCACCTTATATTATAGAAGTATAGATAGAACTTAAAAAAAAAAATAAATAAAGAAACCTATAGACAACCCTTCCTTTGTCTAAAAAATCATAAGCCAAAATCACACATTTTTGAATTTGGGGCCTACTTTAAAAATATTTATCTAGAAATGTAAAAGGTGCCGGTGACCTATTTTATTGTTTTTGGAAAGAGTATCCTATCGTTATTTTACTGGTTTAAAAAAACAGATCTTGTATAGTTTAAAAAACAACTTATGAGTCATCAAACTGCCAAAAAGTGTTTTAACAAGCGTTCAAAAATCAGCAATAATGGGAAATAAAAAAGGTCTCAAGATTGAATGTATAGATTTTATATTTTTTTTACTCCATATTACAATTCTTTTAAAGCAAAAAATTAATTTAGAGGGTAATATTGCATTAAATAACTTTACATCAAAATGGTGCTAAATCTGAGTTTGTTTTTTTTAATTTATAAGATTGTACAATTATACTTGAATTTTTTTTTTCCTGTAAACATTTTTAACTTGATGTTTATTGAACATAATTAATTATTTTTAAGCATTATTTCTTAATTTAAAGTCATTCAGTATGGTCTATTTAGCATTTACTTCTGAATTATTCAGAACAGAGAGTAAGCATTTTATGCTAAATATACTTTATAATAAAAAAATAATTGGTCAAGTAGTCCTGTAGAATTTCCCCCCAAAAAGGGTTAACCTAGAAAAATTATTGTAAAAACATGTTACATAACGTCAATGTTACATTGACGTCACAAAGATTAGTGGATGATATACGAAACTTTAAATTTTGCTAATAAATTTTAAACATGCTATACAATAAGTTGCTATAATAATATTTATATTTAATTGATATAAAAGTTTTGAGTATATTATTATTTTAATTATTAGAATCTTGGCTGCCGGAGCCACGACCGATAAGATCTTTTTTTGTTTTTGCAAGGGGACCTTTTTATATTTTTTTGTTTGTTTTTGTCAAATTTTTTTTGTTAAATTGAATTTTTGTAAGTAAAAATGGGCAGAGGTATTAAAAAGTTGCATTTCTACATTTCGAATTCTAAAGTTATTAGAATGTTAGTATTCTTTATGTATTCGAAATATAATCGTTTGTGTTTGCAATTTCAATCAAAAACTTTTAAGTAAATTAATTATCTTGGTTTTTATATAATTATGTAATGATTTGCTATTTTTAGATTTTAATACAAGTTATCTAATCTTGAAAATGATAACACAAATAATTCAAATTATATGTTTTAGTTGCAAAAAGTTTGATTTGTAAACGCCTTTAAAATTAATTTCAAAACTCAAAAATTATGGACTTATAAAATAATTCCTCTGTATGTGAATTGTGTGGTAAAAACAAATTAGAAGGAGATTCATTGAGCCAAGTGGGGGAAAAATTTGGAAAAGATGTTTTCAACCAAGAAGCTCTTTAAAAATTAATTGTTTTTTTATACAGTTCATAAACCAATACATTCAAATCCAAAATTGTATTTGAATGTATTAGTTTATGAACTGTATAAAAAAATAATATGCAGGAAAAGGTTTACATTCACTCATCGTGTTGAACTAAATTAAGAAACCAATCAAAATCAATTAAAAGGTCAAAAGCATCAATGGAATCTCCAATAAAAAGAAAACTTTTTAATTGATCAGAAAGAGTTTTTTTTATTTTTAAAAGTAATGTTTTTATTTTAGAAAAATTCGCACACTTAACAGTCGCCATCCTGAAAGATTTCACAGAAGTAAAAACAAAATCAACAAAAATTTCTCAAGCAACTCTAGAATTATGCAAAGAACGTGGCTACTTTTTATCAAAAACAGTTGAAGCTAGACTTTTGAATATAAACGATCTTGTAACCGTTGATGCACGATATCACATTTATTGCCGTGCAAAATTTGGAAGACCTATAACTACATCAAGCTCTGGAAGACCTACTTCAACAGAAAGTCTTTAATGCAGCATACTTAAAACTCGAGGAAGATATTGATCTTTACACAGTGTTTTAGTTTTAGGAAATGATGCAAACATTAGGAGAAGAAATATATTCCCTTTAAATGACTCAAAATAAGATTAAAATAAAATGAAGATTCTATGCAATTGGTCTCACGACAAGGTAAAAGTTACCGTTGATAATGTACTTTCTTCAAAGTGGCTAAATATTCTACTTGCTAAACTGGGTTTTGCATCAAGTTACGAGGAGGTTTGTTTATTTAGTGATAATTTTAGCTGAATTTGTCTTTTGACATCTATACTTTGAAATCTATACTTTACACATAACACTTTTCAAAGAAGATCATAAATTATTTAATAGGTAATTCGTTACAAGCAGAACATAGTGAAGCACTATAAAATTAACGATATTTCTTGAAGGTACCCTAAAGATACAAATACCCTGAAGGTACAAAATCTATTCAGTTTGTTGGGGATATTACAATTTAGCGACAGTCAATAGTAAAAACACACATCACCGACTAAGTTCTATATCAATTGCAAATGGAAATGTAATTGGGCACACAAATAAGAAAAGATTACGTAGGGTTAAAAAAAAAAGTTGGTCTAACATAAACTTTGACAACCAGATTAAAATGTCTCAGTTTTCCAGTTGACGTTCCGGTTTTATCTCAAATATAATTTCAAGAATTTACAATGGTATTTACATAACTAAGCTGTTTAGTAGGGTTTTCCCAAAAAAAATATTTTGTGCGCCATCAAAAAACTAGCTCTTATATGTAAAAAGACAAAATATGTAAAAAATATTAATCTGAGACAAGTGTAAGAGCATGGTGTCAAAAACAAAAAATGTCAGTTTTTGTCATATTTTTTAAGTTTTTGTTATGTTAAATGTACCTGCAATGAGAAAAAGGATAAAATTTATTTTAAAGTTTTTTGTTTTACTTGTTTTGAACATTTTTTAACTACTGTTTTTTAAAGTAATCATTTTTTACTTAAATTTAATAGTATATTTCAATTTTTTTCTTGATTATTGGTATATCATTGATCACCGTATATTTTTACTTATAAATCTTTGATTAGTTTAATATACATGTGATTTAATGGTTATAAAATTTTTAGTTTCAAATTAAATATATTTTTAAAAATGGGTCGTACAGTAAAAAAATCTAGGAAAAAATGACCAGGAAAGAAAGAAAAGTACCCTGTTCAAAGTAGTTACAGTACACTGTTCAAAGCAGTTTAAGACAATCTCTATATCTGTTAAAATATCCCATAAATGAGCTTCCAGTCAACCAGCTGCCTAATGTCAAAAACATCTTGCAATACTTTCACTTTTTGAAATCTTTAAGGTAATTTTATTATCTAGTTTTTACCTAATTTATTTACTTAACCCAAAATTCATGAATATAAATATATATTTCAGTTGATTTTCTTTTATATTGGAGCACCAGATTTCAGTCCAGCAAAGAAATTATTGCTAAAGAAAGTAGATTTCCAGGTGGAGGTTGATACCTTGTTAGGCATATCTGTTTTGACTTGCATGACATTAATTTATCAAGATCTACTCTACACAGAAAAAGAACTATTGAAAATCTTGGTAACTATTATTCAAAAAACTGATTAAGTTTGTTTGTTTTATTATCTTTATTATTTTAAATGTACAATTTAATTGATTCAGAAGAAACACTAAGACAGGATGCTGTTAATGTTTTAAAAGGAAAAAAAAATCATTTTGATGGGGAACTTGTTAGACAGCTGGAAGAAGAAAATGATCTGACAGTTGCCTTTGAGAGAGTTGCAGTTACTAAATTACCGGGTATTTAAGTCAGCAGCTTGTTGCAATGGTTTTATTGGATTTTGTTTTGCATAGCCCAGGTTACTCATGACCAGGCTGAGGCAGCTGCACAAGGTAACTTTACTGCTTTTAACAAATTTAAATTTTTTGTTAAAAATATGGAAGTCACCAATGATTGTGCAGAAAGAAATATAAAACTAATCCAAGACTTTATTATTTCATACTAAAGATATGAAGCAGATCTTCATTTCGGTATATATCTAAAGTTATTACTACATAAACAGTAATATCTAAAGTAACCATCACACAAAAAAAATTAACAGTATTAATTTAAGCAGATTCTGTTATGCCGTTATATATGCTGTTATATTCATGGATCCGAAGAAATTGATTGAGACAAAACAATTTTGGCGTTATAATGGCGTTATATTTGCTGATTTGTTATGGTGTTGTGTTATTGTGTTAAATTTAAAGATGCTTGATGTTATATTTGCTGTTATTTTTACTTATGGTTTTGCATTTATACTTGCTGTTATATTTGCTGTCACAGGTGACAGCAAATATATCAGCAAAATATCATTGCAATAAATATAAAGTTTTAAAACTGGCATATTAGTTTGTAAAGTGGTATTACGAGTTAGTAAAAGTGAAAGGAAAACGAAAAGAAGGCAATTAAATAAAATTTAAAAGAAAACTCTGAAACAGTTATGGTCATCAACAGTAATTTTTTTGTATTTTGTGCAGCTGGTAGATATATTTTATTTTTAAGATGTTGTAGAAAATGTAATGAAGTTTAACCATTTTGTTTATTGAGTATTTTCAATTTAAATTGAAAATTATCTTTAGAAAACGCTTATGCATCATGCTATAACTAAATAACGTGCATGTATCAGAAAACCAAGTCAAGTGCTGTAGTATCATTTCAAATCAAAATCTAAAAATACCTTAAAATTTTCTTCAAACTGTTAAAGCAAAATTATAGCACCAAAACATTTGTCACTTCTTTTTTAGTATAACTATTTGAATTAGTAGTAAAGATGATTGTCAATGATGCCAAGTTATATTTATATTGTTTTTTTTTGTTCGCGAAACATTCACTTTGTCTATTTGATTGAAGAAGTCAATTGAAACAGCTTTTAAAAACTGCTAATAGTTTTACTTCCTAATGTACAAAATTGTAGAGCTTATGATTCAAGCTCTACAATTTGTATTGAAACCAATATATCCAACTCTCAACAAGTTAGGTTTTTATCTGATTTAAATAAAGCTGACACAGCTCAATCAACTTTAATATGCCAATTTTCATCTATTTCAAACAATTGTGTAGATTTTGTGGTACCACCTAAAAAAATAACTTGGAACTCTGAAAACCAATACATGGCTGGAGAATCTTGTGTGAGTGTTGTCCACTAGGTGACAATTTTTTTGCAAAAAAAAAAAAAAAATTAACACTGCATCTAATTCTTTCCTAAACCCCTAAATGATATTAAAACTATTTTGGTTTATTCTAAGGAGTAGTATTAGTGCTAGATGTAGATTTTAGATGATTTCATAATTAACCATAATTTGAAATTTTCTTCGTATGTCGTCAATATTTTTTTACTTCTTCAAAATGTTTCATTTGAAAAATAAAAGTAATTCAAAGTTTATCTTTTTAATCAATAAATATAATAATATTGCATTTCAAAACCTTTTACAGCAGATTTGAAATTTTTAAACTGTTAACAAAGCTACAAATAAAAAATTGTGCATATAAAAAAAAGTCGTAGTAAAGATAGTTTCAGGTAGGGTTTAATACAGGTATTATTTAGTTTTAACTTTTAGAATTTAAATTTAATGAATTGTTTTCAAATTAAATATAAATAAATAAATATTAAATATTATTTATGTTATAGCCAACATATAGACACAAAGATGCAATCAAGTATTGAAAAAAAGGCGAAACATGTTAGACATCTGAATGTTAGTTGTAGGAGGCCCCTTTACCTTCTTAAATCTCCTATGTTTTTTTTACCTTTGAATCAGCTTCCAACAAATGGGTTACTTCTAAGAAATTATCAATATTTAATCAGCAGTAGATCAAAACAATTCAAAAGTATTTACGATAATTTTTCTTGTCCTATGGGATCAATATTTTAACATGAAATGCAATGGAAAAACAACGTGTTATCAGGAAAATGGAGATTTGTGTCTTTCTCGAAATATAGTGAACATCTGGGAGTCCTGTGGTTTTAAAAACTATATTATTGAAGAGGATAAAATATTATCAAAATTTGTGAAACTTCACAAAAAATAGGTACCAATGACCGAGGGATAGTTGCTAATTCGGAAAAATGACACCAAAGAAAAGTTAGTTGAAGAATTTTAAACGATCATGGAGACTCTTTTTGACATTGGAAAACCCAATATTAATGAGTTCATACAACTCAATCAAGATATGCCAAGAAACAAAGAGAGCAAAGAGGAAGATTTAGCATTTTTGTAAGATAAGAAAAATGCTAGAAAACAGTTTATAAGCGGGCATATAGATAAAGAACTTGAAGAAAAGATTGTACGTAGACAAGAGAGATATATAGATTATATGGAAATAATGAGCGTAGATATATAGATTATAAGGAAATAATGTCAATAGAGGCTGAATATCATAATGATGAGAACAACGATTACTAAGATTTAGAAGATTTAGAACCCTCAATTAAAAATGCTGCTGGAAATTATTCAAATGAGAAAAAATCGATATCTGAAACAGATAATTTTTATCATGAAAAATCTAAATTGTATATTTTACATGTATTGTATACTACTTAATAGAATAAACTGTGAGTGTACTTTTTCACTTTCATTTTTTGCTAATATTATTGAAGATCTTTCGAATCTGGCATTGATGGTAAGTAATATTAATTATAATTCTGATGAGGATGAAGATTACCAAAAAACATCAAACAAAGCAACAACAAAAAAAAAAAAAAAAATTAACGACATACCACTTATGCTTTGATCCGATTCAATCCTTGTCAATAAAGAAATTACTCGACATGGCCTAATTACACCAACAACTCCTCTCAGTGTAAGGACTGGCTAGCTACCAAGATCAAACAATTCTTATAGCTAGGATTATGAACTACCTTGGAGTAAATATGAAAAAAATAAGGATAATTAGAAACAGTCAAATTGAAGCGTTATGAGGTTGTTCAAAATCACGGAAATGAAATTAGATAGAATTATATCGAGGAAATGAAACGAAAAAATCTTGTCCTTCACTTTAAAAGCAAACTAGTGACACATTTGTATAAGGAAATCCCAGAAACAGTTACAAGAGATAGAATTGCTGTGTCTGTTATTAGTCCTGAATTTGGAAAATAGTGATATAAAATACTATGTCATAGTATTTTATATCACTATTTTCCAAACATGGTAGTTTCATAGGTCGATGGTAGTTTCATAGTCTATGAAACTACCATCGGTAAAGAGTACATATCACTCCTTCATAAAGTTAAATCGTTTTATCCTACAGCAATTGAAGAACTCAGTGGGTTACTTAGGGCATATCATTCTAAACCAGGCCTACCTTCAGTTTAGTTCTGAAGATGCTGAAAGTGAAGCAGACTTATTTAGATCTATTTTGGAACCTGCTTTAAAAAATAATAAAAATTTAGAAAAGGCTGTAATTACTGGTGTTCAGTATATTCTTAAAAGTGGAATTTTATCTGGATTAAATAATTTGGTAAAACATGATATAACCAGTGACAAATACTCAAAAACGGAATTTCTGAGAAAGAGCTTAAGATTCTTCTTAATCATTTTAAATTAAAAAAAGATGAAGATTACGTAAAAGATTGGTATAATGGATATTTGTTTAATATTGGTACAATCGATAACCCATGCTTCATTGGGAAATATAATGTTTGGTCAGTTGTAAATTATATATCTAATCCTCTCAAATTTGTCTCATATTGGGAAGATAATAATCTACTCAAAATTTTGAATAAAAATCTTTTGAAAAATGAAACTATTAAAGATATTGTGGAAGACTTGGTAGGTAATCGTAATGTGTTTATAAGTAATCTTACCACTAATTTTAGTGTGAACGATTTTCTAATATTAAAATCTATAACTAGTAATTCAG